AGTTTAATCCTAAAGGAACTGAGAACTTATTGACAAAATGATTAACTTATCTCATGTACTTAATTATCACTGAAATTAATATTTATTGTTGTGTACTCAAAACGTGAGTACACTCTAGAATCGGTCAGTGTGTTCGACCGTTTACACGATAACTTTTGAAACAAGAGTGCGATCTTGATGAAATTTTCTACACAGTATCGTCTCAATAATGTTTTGGTCGAGTTCGAAGATGAGAATGATTCGTCGAGCCATTGCTGAGTTATCGCAAAAAAAGTGATTTTTCGCTATGCTTTTCTATTCGATTATTGATGTATCTCGATTTTCGTAAAAGAACTTTTCCTCTCATAATCAAACAAAACCCCACGCTATTATATACCATCCGAGAGAGAATTTCAAGAGCTGCAAAATGGTATATAAAAAATTAAGAAACAAGAAGGCCAACTCACCTATTGCAAAGATACTTGAACGGAAATTGCTTCTGTGTTTGTCCACGCTGTGATCGATCGAAAATTAAAACCCCATCTTCCAATCAGAGAAGCGATACTTCGAAGATTTATCAAACTTGAACAAAGGTTTTCTGGGCAGAGAACTTCTATATGAGCTCCACTTGCCTCGAAATCCTATTGGTTGAACAGTAACCAATAGAAATCAAGTTTTAAGAAAAATGGCTTGCCAGGATGATTTTGATGTCTACACATGCTATGATGAGTCACCTGTTTACTTTTTGAAGTACACATAACACTCGGATTTAAATCCGAAGTTTCCACGTTTACTATATGTATAGCTCTGGTATTTTAAACTCCAATTAAAATTTCGGGTGTAGTTAGCTACCTGTTATATATAACTGTAAAAAGAGACATCGATCGATATCGCTTTCTACAGTCATATATAAAACTTAGCTAACTGTAGCTCGAAATTCAAAGTAAAATTTAAAATAACAGAAGCTATAAATATAACAATAAATATTAATTTCAGTGATACTTAAGTACATGAGATAAGTTAATCGTTTTGCCACTAAGTTCTCAGTTTCTTTAGGATTAAACCTTGTAAAATAAGTTGTGTAATCAAATATGTAAATGATATAAAATAAGGAAACCCATAGGACCGTGGTGGGAGAAAACAATCGAAAAAGAACGTGCTATTTTTTTTTGCCAGGTAAGTGTATGTGTAAATATTCTAGCGAGGAAAAAAGCCCAGTTATTATTGGTGAACTTTTTTCATTCATTCTATAATAAGTACACTTCAATATCATTGGACGGAATGACAAAAGTGTGTGAGCAAAATCTAATTCGAACAAAAGGGAAAGCAAAATAATCACATCGTTTCTATGCAGCAAGACAGACATACTATTTATCATGTAGTAACCATGGCTGTCCCAATTGAAAGAAGTTTTTTTTTTCTTTGTTCTGTTTTTCAGGCAACTGAATTCACTCTCAAGCAATGTTTCGATGCGTCGATCGAGGCTATTATATGGATTTATAGCATTAATCATTGTTTAGCAATCGTCGATTCTTCGCTAACTCTAGAACAATGATATTTCACGAGATTCATTAGCAAATTCAAAGACCTTAGCGGAGCAATCTGCGATGAGTGGAATTTGCTGAGTTCTGAGTGGTCGACGTTTTGAACACCAGACGTTCTTCTGAAACTCCAGAAAGTTTCCGTTTCCTGCATACTTTTCAAGCGTTAAATAAGAAAAAATAGAAAATAAGACTGCTACAAAGATCATTGAGTTTTTATTTTATTTCAATCCGAAATACAACTTTATTTGAGCTTTCATGTTGCGCTGAACACATCATCAGGAATGACGATGTTAAAAGTTATTTTTGTTGTACAAGAAGTGCGATAATGATGCAAACACATAAGAATACTATGTACATGTAAAGCGTAAGAGTAGTATAAGTAGAGCAAGTGAGAGAAAATGAACAAATTATAGCTGTTGTAAAATGAAGTTTGTATGAAGATATAGAATCGTGAGATAAATATATTAAGATTAAATCAGAACAAGACATATACAAGGTAGATGATATTCTTGATATGGGGTGGTATTCATTGTGATTGTTTATGTGTAGTGATTTTTGTTTTGTATAATTGATAGAATAAATATATATATATATATATATACTATTGTTGATTTTTATATTATTTATTTTAGTTTTTATGTTACTGGTGATCTTGTTATATGTTATGTTATTATTTTATCCTTTGTTATATGTCTCAACTAATTGTTTCTTCGATATACAAATGTAAAAAGAGTGAAGTAAAAGGGTGTGGGTGTAAGGATATCGACACCCGCACTCACGTCCACACCCACCCACACACCTACACTCACCCTCAGATCCAGATTCACATTCCACACCCACACCCCATCCCAACTTTCATTTGATATGTAACTCTGATTAAAAGAGCTGAAAGCTGGAGGAAAACTTGCTCTATGAACACTGCATAGCATGACGCTATGAGAGATAGGTAAGTTTGAGTTTTGCGTCAGTCACGTGTGGCCGGAATAAGATCTTACGTTGTAATTTGATCTACAATCAACATCAGCTATCTGAATAGGCTCTTAAAAAAATAAGAAACTCAATTTCGAGATTGGATCTTCTCTTTTCGAAGTTTACCAATTTATTCAGAAAGTAGTTTCGAAACAAACACGAGAACATTATTTTTGTATATTTACTTGAATAACTCTCTAACATGAGTATCATATATGATTATATTACGTATCAAGTAAAGCTCCTAATAGATTGGGGTTGTTCGATTGTTCGATAAACACCCATGGACTGCGAGCTGTGCCTCATGGACTGAGTCTTGAACAAAATATATAATTCTCAAGAGATGCCACATATTATCACTGCGAAGTTACTCTTTTTGAAAAATCTCATTTTCTTCGTTTACTAACTCAAACATTGCTGCAATGAAGAACGAGTAACTACACAAAGCAAAGCAAAACATAGACATTTTTTCATTCATGTTAAAAAAAGCTTTATATTTATTCAATAAAAAGTTGCTTTATTCTCTTTTCTTATCCACAACTACGCTGTCCTTAATTATCTTGTCTACTTCTGATTCTATTCTTACCGAGAATAGATATGTGTAGATGTGGATATTGATTTCATCCACACCTATTTTATTTTTTTCATTTTTTTATATAGTCTCTTACTTTTCTTATGTGTATTTCGTATACTCCGTGCTGCTGTTTATGATTGAGTAACAAAAGTGTTATTCCAATTGTTTTTCTTTGTTCATTTTTCTATAAATTATGTTTATATAAAGAAATTAGTTTTCTTTTTTGCTAATTTGTTTTTTTTCTTTTATTCAAAGAAGATGTTTGCCGTGATTGATTGAATGAAATTAATTGCAATTTAATTTAGGAAAGATTAGTCAATGATAATAAATAACTATTACTAACATGGCATGCTAGCTATCTTTGGAATAAATATTTAGCTATAGATGAACAGTTCATATATATCAAAGGATTATCTGTTGCATGCATGAGCATGGCTGAATCAGAGGATCTCTGAAGAAGAAACCGTCGATTGAAATTGTTGGAAATCAATAATCTATGACTCGACTTTCTTAATTATCAGAATCTCGCACATCATATGAACGATCATATAATTGCTTAAATAATAACCATCTCATAAAAGCGGATACCATCTTGGATTGTTTTGTGAAACACGACCTAAAAGGAGTGTTGAAGTGTATAGGGTAGAGATTTTGCACCCACTCCCCCCCCCCCCTCCCACAGACCGTGACAAAGAAAATCCACACCCATCACAGACCGTGACAGAGAAACTATAGTTGTAAAGCATCAGATAAACGGTTAGCTACCAATGTATCGCAACATAGTGGAACGAAAGGATTTCCATTTAATTAGTAATAGTAGAGCCACCGTGTTTCACATTTTTCATCCCGCAAGGGATTGCGCAAACAGCTTTTTCAAAAGTTTCTTCCGCTTATACGACTGAATTTTTTATAGATATTTTTATCTAAAAAAACATAATTCTTCCTGCCAGTTAAAGCATTTTCCTCTAGCATATAAAATACCAATATTTTATGAATCATGAAATATTATTACCAGGACACATTCAGCTCCGCTCCAATTCTTTAACAAATCCACTCTTGAAATTTGTGCAATGTTGAAACGATTTCTCGAATTAGTTCTGCTTTGTGTAAAATCCACGAAAGGTTGGTGAATTCTTTTTGTCTACGAGACTAAAGCAGTTGTATGGCGTGTGGCATTTTAGTTTCGCAAGGATTACACTGAAAGATTTTCTTTTATTTTCAAATTAAATTAGCATAACTCATAAAGATAAGAAAAATATGTGTTATTCGCATTTTAGAAAAAAGTAGGCTTCATCATTTTTTCTTGTCATTAGTCATAGATAAGCATATAATTTTAAATCCAAGAAGATGCAGAAAAATTTCTATGTAAGCAGGAACTTCTTCAACAAAAATAAGATAAATTTCATTCAGCTTAGATGAGTTATGCTTACATCAGTTAGAGGCAAAATATTCCTCAATAAATATCTACTATTTTTCACACATCGAGAACAATGTCATTCATGTATAATGTATTTTAGTGCGGTTATAAAGTAAATATTGACGTCAAATGAATACAATTTAAAATATTATCAACATGATAGAAGAATAATACACAGCTCCGGTTCATCTGTTCAATAAAGTCATATAAAGAATTGCTTTTATTTATTTGTTGCTTAAAAAAGATTTTAAAAAAAGCGAGATACATGAAAAGTATCTTTGTTTGTGTTCAAATATAATTTAATTTATCGTTTCTAAGTGGAAAAATCTTCTTTTTTTCATTGAATAGAAGAATTTCATGAGTTTAAGATTTTTACTTAGAAATTGAGAGCTTAACAAAAAAAAAAAGTAAGTCGAATTTGATCTCTTTGATGAAGATTACAGGATTATCAAAAATATTATTGTAAGTCACAACAGTTTTGTTTTTTTGCCACGGTTTTATGAAACTTCTCTTGGCATTATACTGCTTTTTGCACCTGCCCGTTTGAAATACCAGATAATACCAACACCAATACCAAGTAACACTGGTATACCAAGAATGTTGTCGTTTCACTTGCTGAAGATGTTATGCCTACCGTAGATGTTGTATTTGTTATAGAGGTTGTGCCTGTTGCAAATGTTGTATTTGTTATAGAGGTTGTGCCTGTTGCAGATGTTGTATTTGTTATAGAGGTTGTGCTTGTTGTAGATGTTGCATTTGTTATAGAGGTTGTGCCTCTTGTAGATGTTGTACTTGTTGTAGATATTGTGTAACTTGTCGTATGCGTTCCATTATCAACTGTCGGAGCTAAAAGGCAGAGATAAAAAATTGTTAATTGACCTTACAAGAAGTGAGCGCATACTGTTTGTAGTGGAACTTCCACTAGTTGAATTTGTATTGAGTTCAGTGATACTACTAAAATTTTCTTTATCGATGCTTGTAACACTTGGCATTGTTTCGATAACATTTGGACCACTCGTATTGTCTTGATTTAACTCTAAAACAGTTGAATCTATCATAGATGAGACTATTATTCGAAGTTATTGATCACAAACCTAGGCCATCAGTGCTCATGGTAGAATCATCTTGACAATTGCAGATGACCAATGTGAAAAGCAAAACTATAAAGAAAACTTCATATGATTTTGAAATTGTCGTATTATAGCAAACCTATAGTGGTATATAAAGTACGCATTGTTTTATTGAATTTTTTCCTAATAGTTGTTTAAAAATCAAACAAAATAGTAGACGTCACTTGACTCTTGATGTAATCCGCTGTTCTAACTGAATCGAATGAGATTTATATCAAACGACACTCGTATTTATACTAGATTTGTTTGTTACTTCCCACATGAATACAAGCTGTACTTTTCTGATTAATCGTAAACTGATAAGAGAACGCCCGCCATGATTCTTTTTTTCCAATGTTCGTATGCATATTTCAATAATTGTTGACGTAATAAAGAAAAAAAACTGTTGTAACGTATTTAATGTCTTATTGCTATTAGCGATTATCAACTGACGAAATATATAGATTTTGTAACGATATTTCATTCGTTTTACAAGTTTATAGTTTTCTTAGATGTATTGACATTCTGATATGAAGGTGTGGGTGTTGCCAATTTTATATGAAAATTTCACAATTTTTGACTTCTGATAATAATGACATCATATTGAATAAGAGTTCTATGTATGTATACTATTGTAAAACACTTGAAAAGTTATTAAAATGAATATTAATCTTTTAGAAATTATGAAAAATATAACTAATAAATTTCTTTACAAATTTGATTGGGATCAATCATAAGAACATTTGTGAAAGTAATTCATACGAAGATTTTTATATGTTTTAAAATTTTTCGTTGCGGATAAGAACAAATCTTTTAAAAGCACAGAAGAAAAAAATATCAAATAGTAACGGTAGCCATGACTTTGATATCTTTAATATGGTTTTTATTGTTTTAAAAATGAAATCCGAAATTAGTAACATTATCAAATAGTCATAAACAATGTCAAGTATAGTAGTGAAATAATTGTAGACAGCAGACATAAGATACATGCATGATATGCGTATTTAATGAAATATCTGTCATCTTTCGATTCATTATCAGAAAAATCTTCAAGTATTTTATATATGCTCTTTTATAAGCCAGTGATTTATTATATGAATTTAATATTTACAATAGATATCTTCTGACAACTTCTAGAAACTTAATCATAAGCTAATTCTAAAATACATGTTATCCATCGGTTTAATATAAAAAATTCAATTGAGTTATGCATTGTTTAATGTGTTGATTTTTACATTGATTGATGCCTCTTATTTAATTTATTTTATTGTTGAACGAAATCGAACTGTCTTTGGATTTGCAAAATTTATTCTAAATATCAACAATTGCATACTTATTTCAATTCGAATAACTGCAATGGTCAATATTCATAAAACCAATGGATTATGAGTGTACTGATTTGCACAATTTTTAGTGTTATATGATTAGTTGATGATGAATTTTGATTACACTTATCTTCTGAGAAAATGAAAAACTGAATGAAATTTTGTTTGTTAGTTATCCTTTTTTTTCAATCTCAAATTCATAGCTTCATCATAAAACAAATATAATATTTACGTTTGAGGACATTCTCTACCTATCGACAACATAATGATTTTTTTTACTGTAAATACAAATGAATGATTGTGACTGCTTACAACATTCTTACTTTTATTACTCATTTTTACTTCAACTTAAAATATTTTCTTATTGAACAGTATATTATCTATGCCATCATAGTCATGTAAAGTTGACAAGATCAATAATAAATTAAAATCAATAATAAACACATTTTTCAAACCGTAAAAAAAGCAATCTTGTACGCCTATAACTCCGCCAAATAAATATAATTCATTTTGAAACAAATTTTTTTTCTTCAGTCATTCGTCTGCATGACGATTGTATATACATAGAACATTTATTCAGTTTCTACACCGTCAAAAACAAAAGTGAATCGACTAAATTGTTTCATTTTTGAGTTATAAACTTCTTTCTAGTTAGAGTATGGTTGTATTATCATACAAATCAATCATTAATCAGACATCGATTATGTTGAACGATAGCTATTGAATTTGAAAAACTTTTCAATTAATATAATAGCTATCAATACTTAAATACATTTCAGTATTAATTTTTTATTATAACGTATTTGATTAGTCTTTCAATAATTACTCCTATTATGAGTACTAGAGAATTTTGGCCATGTCTCTATTCATGGTTACTTGGCCTTGGTGTCAACGATATTTTTTGAGTTATAGCTGCCTTATAATAGTAAGAAGATCATTTTATAGGATTGATCTTATTGTTTTTGTGCTTTTTCATACAGATCATTGAAAGATATTTTCATCCTAATGATCGTGATCGTTGTCTTATTATTATCCGATGCATTATTATGATAACTATACTTTTGATTTTAGAATTTATTTGAAATATAATGGCAAGTATCATAGATGATCTTATTCTTTATATCAATTTGAATATCATTTTTTCCTTATATCAGAATTTACAGTGGATGTGTTCGTGTTCATTAAAAGAAATTTATTATTATTATTATGGAAATAATCTCTATTGCCATGTAACAATTCTCAAATTTACTACGAAAATGAGTTAGTTTTCTCATATTTCGATATTCTTAGTTACGAGCATCTATTTTTGCGTGCTATAAATAATTTAAAATTAGATAGATATGCTTTTTGATATATCCATGAGTAAATGAATAGTTTACTGTATAAATTTGCTGAAATTTCAGATGCTATTCATGATTTTTTTTTCTTGCATTCCTTTTCCGAATGTGTACTTTAAATTAGTTATTGTGTATATGAAAAGTTGCGTGTTAAGAACATTAAATTAGTAACCGAGGTATGGATATCATGTAGTGTTGATTGATGTTGGAAAACAGTATCTTTATCTGTTATACCTAGATTTTGGCTCACTTGAATAAAGTTTGTGCTGCAATGAATATCTTCGCAAACATCATTGGCACCCAAGAACAGTTTCATTAGATAATAAGTGGCGTTAAAAACTTGTCTTACTAGCATTCACAACACCGTTTTCGTAGAGAGACACTAAAAATAAATATTATACATTAACATTTATTCATAATCTAGTCTAATTATTCTTTCACTATCAAATTAGATTATCTGACTACTGACATAGTATTTTCAAAATAATAAACATAACAATGTAAAAGTTTTCTTTTTAAAGAAACTACTGAAAAAATAAAAACAAAATATTTGATATGTGCGTCGATTTATAATGAAAATTAATCAATTACTTTTTCATGGCAGTAATATACGTTTCAATAGGCATTCATTTATTTTGCCATTGATAGATTTTCATATTGCATAGATATTTTGTGTGCAAACTCTACAATTTTTTTTGCCTAATTTTTAACCAATAAGGAATAAACAAAATATTTTGTAAAACTCAACATAGGTATTTTATCTTCATTGTAACCAGCTCATATCTCAATTGATACACTGTCACATTAACAAGAAGCAATTTATAGTTTCATGGACGTATGAATTATGTTTAAAAAGAATTACTTTATATTCAAATCTGATTCTATTTCTTTGATAGAAAAAAACGAATTCGATATGGACGAGAGATAGGATGTAGGTATCTGCAACTGAGAAGAACATCCATACTCACACTTCAAATTGATTTAGGCAAAATTGAAAAAACCGAAAGAACTAATCATATATATCTATATTAAGTTGTGTTGTGTTCCACTTTAATTGAAGTTTAATTGAATCTAGAAAATTGTAGAGTTCGCCAGTGTTGCCAATTGAAGCTTAGTTTGTTGAGGCAAGTTTTGACCAATTAAAAAGGATCTTTAAGTTTATACTCTTTGAGTAGTATATTTTTTATCGATGTTTATTTATCTTCGACGTTTACGTGGTTTATAAATGATACTTAAAGTATGAATATAGGATTCTATTATGTTTTGCGAAGTTATTTTTCAATCTAAAAAAGTGTAGGATGTTTTATCTTATGTTTTTAGATACTTTCGAAAATGCTTTTCCGATGTCGATGTAGAAGAAACCATTGATATATACATTATAATATGAATAAATGAATATAAATACTCTGCCTATTTAAAGAAAAACAAGTATATGCTTTATTTTCTTAATACAAACAAAAATCAAAATTTATTTTTCAATAAAAGAAAATTATTTCGTCGTTTTGTGTCTATTAAAAACCGAATTCTACCCAGAGTTAATTTTGCCTGTAACATATACCTTTTTCACGATCTAATCGATTTTATTTACACAAAACAACATTAATATCATAAAACACGAAAGATCAAATAGTATTATTTATCACGAAACGAACATCATGTTAACCATAATTTGTTTCAATACTAATAAATCAGTTCATTTGAAACATACGAAAATATTTGTAGGATAAACGTTTACAAATACATATACCTTTCCAGACGTAAATAATATTCTTTTAATATTGACAATTTTCTTGTTTAAGTCTAACTGATTATAAAATTTAATTTCTATCAATGAAAATATTGATTTTAATTGTTTTCAAATTTGAAGTCTTATTGTATTAGTTCTTTTTATTCAGTTTCTAAATGATTCAAAACAGAATTTATTTCGATAAAGTTTCTTTTTTATTTCAAATAGATGGTCAAAGTATATTTAAATTTGATTCTTTATCTCTTTTCATTCATTTTTGCATTCAATAAGAAAAAAAGTAAAAATAAAGCAGCAGACATTACAATTTTATAATAAATTAAAAAAAAAAAACTAAACAAATCTCATTCACATAGAGTGAGTTCATCGATTGAAAATAAAATATATATGTCTATCTGCTCTTAAAATGCAGGAAAAAAATTAATAAATTTGAAATTAAAGATTTTCGCGTATTTTTCTTGCTATATGTTCAACCATTTCATAAGCAATATCAAACTTTAATGGACCGTATAAAAGAAGATGTGCTCCATGGAATGTTGTTGG